ACCCCGAGATCAAGCAGCACGCCCAGACCCTCAAGTCGCAATACAAGAAGGTCGCGGCCATCGGCTTCTGCTACGGCGGATGGGCAGTCTTCAAGCTCGGCGCTGACCCCTCGCTCGTCGACGCCATCTCAACCGCCCACCCCTCCATGCTCGAGAAGTCGGAGATCGAGAACGTCAAGGTCCCCGTCCAGGTCCTTTCCCCCGAGAACGACCAGATGTACACTGAGGAGTTGAAGAAGGCTACATTGGAGACGCTGCCGAAGACTGGTGTCCAGTGGGAGTACATTTATTTCCCTGGTCTGAATCACGGCTTTGCTGCGCGTGGTAACCCCAACGACCAGAAGCAGAAGGATGGTCTGGAGAGGGCGAAGAGGAGTGCTGTGAACTTCTTCAACGAGTTCCTGCACTAGAACATATGTTACGATGGTCATATGATCTCTTAACGAATTGAAATGAAATGATACCTCAACTATGGCTTTTCTCTCGTTATCCGGTCGACAAATAAGTAGGAAGTAAGGCATCAGGTCACGTATGAGGCGGTGAAGGTATTGAAGTGAATATGTGAATAAATTGCTGGTTACTGCTGCCACAAAGTATACGTTTCTTTGACGTCACGCAGAAACCTCTTTTTAAATATATACATGAAGGTCTTTCCAACTTCCGGCTGGAACGATACCATCGTCCGTCGCATCTTATGCGCCGTTGACCAAGCGAGCGAGCCTAGACCTGGTCTCCCAGCCCCAAGCGCCGACACTGCGCTTAGCCATAGCAGCAACACTCTTGGCATAGTTGTTCGTGCCGTGGCTGGGATCAGCATCCTTAGCCTTGCAAGAGGCGCCATCCGAAGGGCCGCCAAGAGGGCCCTCAACGGCAGCAAAATGCTGCTTCTCTTTGGTCGTGCCAACCATGTTCTTCGCAGCCTCAGGAACCCAACCGTTGATGAAGTCACCGTGCGAGCACCACGCAGGTCCGCAGGCCAGCTTGAACGGCGCGGTGGTACCAGACCAGCCGTTGGGCAAGGCCTTGCGCATATCGTAGCGGATGGAGAAGCGGAGCTGGGGCATAGACTTCATGCCCTTGGGGCACCAGTTGGGGGTTCCGTTGTCGCGGCTCTTGTAGCCGGTCTCGAGGGTCTCTTCGTTGACACACTGGGGGAAGAAGAGGAGTTGCTGGATGTGGGTGGAGCAGGTCTTGGTTGGGAAGCCGTTGGCATCGAGAGGAATGTCTTCGCTCTCGCAGCCCCATGAGGCCTTTGCGTTGACGTCCATAGCGTCTGGGGTCATGGCGTCGGCTTTGCCGGCAACCATCTGCAAGTCTTGTGGGATGGCGACCTCAGCAGGTGTCTCGCCGAGGTTGTAATATGCGCTGAAGCGGAAGACGGGAACGGGCTCGTAGTTCTTGCCATCTTTGGTGTATAGGAAAGTGGGCACCCAGTAGCTGGACAAGTCGTTGGGGTTCTCAGCGGTGGTGCAACCCTTTTGGAGTTCAGCGCTGGTCTTGGTACCGGCGACAACGGCGTCGGAGCCGTAGAATGAGTGTAGATGCGACTTGTCGAACTCGCCAGGGTAGACAATGGGATCGATGTTCTTCTCCATGAAAGGGGGAGGGATCTGAATGACAGTGTACGCGTTGGCGAACTGAGCGAGCAGACCCGCAGCAAAAAGAGTGTAAAGAGACATCCTGTGCCTTAGTAACGAATGTAATAAATGATAGAAGAAGTTGAAAAGATAGTAAAGTTGGTAAGAGAATGAAGCGCGATGAAGAAACCGTAAACAGTGGCGCGCTCGTGGTACTTATGCCTGAGGCCGAAGCCTCGTGCCCACCATGCCACAGCCTAGGGCATCCTTCCCTCGGGGCGTCCACCAAAGTTTCAAACCTCCTGGTGTTTTCGCCCAAGCGAGGCATCTTCGCCGTTAGGCCTAGGACTATTGTGGAGGTTAGGGACCGCAGCATGAACGACAGGAGACGTTGCCGAGGCGCTAAGCCAGCTGCGGAGCTGCTCATTGGCGGATCGCCCGTGCCAAAACACTAGTGTCCGCTGTTCCGCGTTTAACAGTTTCGAAACTGCGAAACAAACTGCCTTTGTCCTTGCTTTTCATTTCCTCCGAACAGTAATCGGCTTTTCGGATACGGATGCGTTTTGTGGCGCTATACGCTGGGGCTCTGCGATGTGGCGTGAAGAACATGATTCACTGCGATTAGAACTAGAGGGCGAACTAGTTCGATTGCAGTTATGCGTGCGCGTATCTACGACATCCGAGAATCCAGTACTGAGTGTTGAAGAGCAGACCTTTTATCATTAAGCTGACTTCCAAGGCTGTGCTCCAAGATTTTGTGTGCACATCACGTGCGTGGCGCATACAACGTGCGGCGTGGTAAACAATTCGATTCAGATCAACGAAGCTGCGACTCACTCCGCATCTACGTCTCACGCCCTGCCACCGCAACCACCTCTACTGTCATTCGCAATCGCGCAACCCTCATAGCGACCTCGCACATCCTGATAGGTAATTTGTTGTGGTTCCACAGTATGCACGACGAGAAGCGTCACGATTTGTCCCTCTAATGTCCTGCTCACGCTCACACTTTTCCCACCACTGTATCGGCGCCTTGGCCCAACGGAAGGAGGAGCTTGTTGTGTTTGAATATTGACGGAGATGCTTTGCGAAGAATGCGTACGTGTATTCTCACGCGGCGACCGCAAGCATCATTCGAGCCTTGCCTCTCTCACCAAAGCAGCAACAGCCGGATGCTACATCTGTACTCCCTTGTGGGAATCTGTAAGGCCAGAAACTGGTCACTTGAGGGACGACCTGAAAAGTCACTTCATCATCGGTCAGATTCCAGATACTTATTCTCGAGTTTCCCGTACTCTACCAGAAGAACATATGGTTAGCTATTCCTCTTTATCCACGTGGGGAAGAAAGAAAAGTGTTGCCCACGGTTTTCCGAAAAAGCTCGACCCGCGGAGATTTGTCGCAGTACCTACAGCGAACGTCCCAGTAAATGTCGGTACATACGGCAGATGGTCCACAATACCCATGGCAGAATCCTTACAGGCTGCGCAAAAGTGGATGAGAACTTGTCTAGACACCCATGAGCAGTGTCAGAAACACAAACAACCGCGTACATATCCGACACGGCTCCTCGAACTTGGCAGCCACAAAGTGCGACTAGTACTACCACAGGAAGAGGAACTATCGGGCCCGTATGCTGCTTTGAGCTACTGCTGGGGCCCAAATCCTAGCTTCATCCGGCTAACGGCCGATAACATGCAAGATTTTCGGCTCGGAATACCCCATTCAGATTTACCCATTGCTTTTCAAGAGGCAATTTGCTTCGTAGAAGGGCTCGGAGTTCGCTACCTCTGGATCGATGCTCTCTGTATCATACAGTCTGGCAGGGGGAGTAGTGAAGACTGGCAATTGGAGTGCAGTCGCATGCAAGAAGTGTACTCGAATTGCATCATCAACATTTCTTTGGTACAGGCTGCGCACCCGGACCAAAGCTGTATGGGAGGTTATAATCGTAAAGCGAATCTGCCTTTCACTACAACTATGGCTATGCGAGGAATGAGTGGGGAATTTACCGGCACACCTCCTGCCTTCACTGTCATACCAAGCCAGTACTTCCAACATTCGCTTTATCAACAGCCCCTCGGAAGTCGCGCATGGGTCCTACAAGAACGCCTGTTGGCTACTCGCGTCTTGAGCATTGGCCATGGAGAACTTTTCTGGGACTGTGTACGGGTCCCAAACGCAAGCGAATCTCTTCCACGCGGCTTCGAACTTTGTCCTGACCCTACGAGGGCAGTTCTGAATGAAGCGCTGGGTCTTCAGATAACTTCCATTCCGCAGGCCTTAGACAGCCGGACTTTAGAGGATACTTGGTCTAAGATCCTTGTCGATTACAGTGCGAGGCAGCTCACATATCCCCAAGCGGACAAGTTGATTGCTATCTCGGCTATCGCAAGCTGCATGCACTACGCATTAAACGACACGTATCTTGCTGGCCATTTCTGGAAAACGCTCCCACAAAGTCTGAACTGGAGAGCAAATCGTGCACCTGGACATTCATTCCGTACTGATGAAAGGCCACCACAAAGGCTGCCCAGGTCCTCTAGCCAGATGTTGGATGGCAGCTGGGTGGTCACGCCAACATGGAGCTGGGCATCGATGAATGGCCGATTGAGAACGCGACCATTTGTTGGAGCGTCTTTGACGGTTATAGCAATCGCAGAAGAGTACAGGCTTTTCCCCCTTGATAAAAGCGAGCGAAGACCATGTATGGAGAAGATGATACTGCTGACCATTCGAGCCTGGTCTAGACCTATCAAATGGACGCTGGGTGGGCCGATCGGCTATGAAAACACAGAAAGTTTGAAAGAGGAGGGTTTTGAACGTCTCTACGTCACTATGGATGAGCCGAATGAGAAGCCCGAAAACGGAAGCATGTTTCTACTTGCGGCACTTGTCCATGCAGACAATATAGTGGTGGGCTTGTTGCTGAGAGAGATAAACATGTACGAAGACAGAGTATACGAGAGACTGGGGCAATTCCGGGCACCATTCGACCGCGACATTGGGACGGAATGGCAATCGTTGTTCACTGATGGAGAGCGCTCCATAACTATGTGCTGATGTAGCTAAGCCGACCATTGCTACTTCAGTTCGATACTCATTCGATGAACAGCACTACCCTGTACAGAAATCCCGGTAGTCAGCCATCGGAAAAGGTTGGGAGCAATAACGAAGACGTCAAAGAGATGATTGACCGCATCGTATATGCAAATGATGACCACTACTCGGAAGATGATTCCAAACAGCAATGGCCCCTTCATAGATCGAACACGATCTGTAGGCCTTTTCTTCAACATATGAGGCATCATCACCACACGGGTTTTAGGGTCATATGGTCTCATCAGCATCGTTCAAAATGTTCTTCCACTTCCCAACCTTACATAGGCTCGGCAGATCATCATTTATTTCTTATACAAAGCTCTATTTGTCAGCCGCATCCAACGGCTTGTTCTGCCCATAATTCAGCGTCTTCTCCCTCTTCTTCGCATCCGACTCCTTCGGGTCATGCTTCATGTTGTCTTGACTCTCCGTTGTCTCCTCCGTCGCGCCTGCGCGGTCTTGCTCCGGGTGGCTGACCGGGTTTTGTACTGATGCGTGGTCGCCATCGTTCTTGTCAGTCTGGCCGACTGAAGCGCTCTTGTTGATGGACTGGCTCTCGGCGCTGCTAGCTTGCGGGTTGGAGACGTTGGATTATTGGCCGGGTGTAGCGCTGCTGACGTATGTGCGGGTGATGACTGGTGCGAGGACTGAGGGGAGGTATGTTAGTTGTCGTTTTTCTTGGTTTGGGGTGAGGGTAGCTACCTTCGCTTCGTTGCTGGAGTGAGCGGGTCGCAATGGGCGCTGAGCGCGAGAAGCTTTGGAGGAATCTTGATGCCATTTTCTTTGGTGTATTTCGAGTCTATTGCGGGAATTTGCAGGTATAAAGTCGTTGTTTGCAAACTCACAGCGACATATCCACGCATGTTTATCACCCTCCCTCCTTGACGTGCCGGTGATGTTGTCGAAACGTCATCATCAAGCCGCAAGGCCGATCTCTAGGGGTTCGGCATCTGCTTCCCGTACGAATCCACTCTTACTTATCTATGACAGCTGCGGAAAAGCATGACACCGAACGTCAGTGCTTTCATCGCTACTTTTTGTCGATGTTTGCCCGTGCCGTAGAGCTTGCGCAATCAAGATGATGACGTATGCCAAAGAATTAGCGACGACATCATAAGCACGCATCACGACACTATACATTGCAGCGGATAGAACCCTAAAGAGCTCGGAATCGCATTGTGATGATTTACCCTGCGCTATGTTGGAGATACATGGATGCCGAGGTGATGCCCCACTCCCGGGCCATCGGACTTTCCGACTCTGCCAACCGCCTGCATTCGCAACCACCCAACCCACTATTCGACATCCAACGGCTTGTCGGACTTCCAGCTGATCCAGGCCTGCCTCTCAGGGGTATCTTTGGCATACATTGTCGTCATATCGGCAGCACGCGTTGCTACAGGACCCGGGTTTGAAGCATACCAAGTGGTATAGTCACTACCTATTTCAAGTCTATCGTACAACACTTCTTCTCTCGAATTCTATAAGATTCCTACAAGTAGTCCGGATCAACCCAATTCTCCTTCTCAAAGTTCATCCCAAACACATCCGACGCCTTGATCCGCGCATCCCGCTGCGACGAAAAGTTTGCCCTTGCCTCTGGATTTGCGCCAGGTCCATAGTTCATGTACTCCTGGTACACAATATTGTCGACACTCTGCACATCGTCCCAACGTGCCCATCCCTCCGGCTTCACCACATCGCTCAAATAGCTATCCTGGAAAACAACCCTAGAGTAGGGTCTCCACGGCCTGCCAAGGAAGGTCGAGTTTGTGCCATTGGTGCCGGAGACATTGACCTGGTTGAAGACGTAGATGCTCGTGTTGTTCTCAGCTTCGCGACCATTGGCGGTGACCCAGCCAGGACCGATAGATTCAATGTCGATCTTGTCGAACCACGCGATGGCGCGTAGACCGAAGATGAAGTCTACGGCTCCGTTGACGAAAGACTTTGCGTAGATTTGGCGACCGATGTTGGCGTAGATGGTGTCTTGGTACCCAGTGAACTTGCAGCCGTAAAATCCTTGGTTTGTCTTCTGCGCGCTCAATGCAAGAGCTTGGCCATTCTTCTCGGCTGCGCCGAAGGTGTTGGCGATGTTTAGGTTGTATACACGGATGTTTGTTGTGTTCAAGCGGAGGGTGGCTGTTGCGTCGTTGTTGGCGAGGCCGGGTGTATTGCGCGAGAGATTGTATGTCAAGGTGACTTCGTTGTCCTTGTAGCCGCGAGCGTCCTTCGTAGAACCTTGAATGGTGATGGGTCCAGCATGAGGAGGAATGTAGACTTGTTCGTTGTATATGCCGGCGACGACGAAGATCTTCTGGGCATCGGTCTTGTTATGCAGTGCGTCTACTGCGGCACTGATGCTGGGGTAGCTGCCGTTGGTTGCGCCGGATGCATCGACGACTAACGCGCCTCGGTCGGGCTTTGTTCTGGTGTACTTGTCGGCAGATACGACAGAAAGAGTGCTTGCAAACGCAAGGAACTGTATCAGACGAGACACCATGTTGATCGGCAGAGAACGATTGAGCTAGTATTCGGTACCCGCCCATCGGAAGGACCGGGTACTTATACTAGATTGACGAAATGCTCTCCTTTACGCGATTACTACAGTCTGTAATTATTCCGTCGCGCTTACCTCTACGGGCCGACTGTCGAACATGCGCGCTGTTTGCCATTGCCATCGTGACTTTGCGGGGAAGTGTGGAGGAAGCATCGTTGGTGTTGTATCGTGTGATTGGTGGCAGAAATCCTTCCGTGGACAACTTTACCCCAGATTGTTTAACCATCGGCAACGGAATCTGGGGAAGCGATGTTGTAGTAGATCTGATTTTGATGTTTTGTCAAGTGGACGGATGCGACCGGGGATTGTTCTCGGATTGATTGGGATTCAGGTACATGTGTAAGCCCGATTGATTACTTAGGTAGTCGCGCCGCGCGGCGACTGCCAACATCCTTCTTGGCTTGACCTGCTTGAACGCGCATTCTTCCACTTCAATGCTCTCATGTATGCGACTATTTCTCTCTTCTTGTAGGCATGAATTTGAAATTTTACACAATTCTGATCGCGTACGGGCAGCAATAACGAACGACCCTTGGAGTGGACGCGACGACAACCGAAGTACCACCGCGCCTTCCTCGATATACGAAACACACCCTAGCACGTTTGCCGCTACTCCCTAGATATTGTGATGGCATTATGCAGTTGTCCAAGAGCAAGGGATGAGGTCCAGTTCTGCCTGCGATGGGCTGCGATGCCCAAGCCGAGCAGACGGTGAGGGCGTTTGCAGTAAATCTTGCCCCGAATCCTGAGGCTATGTTCTTAAGTACCTCATGATGACTGGGTATAAACAGGTCATTAGGCTAGACTAGAGGTTCTCGTATCAAATGGTACACCGCATGAAGTACTTACCGCCTGGTCACGATGATCAATAAGTCAAAAGCCGTCGCGAGCCGGACTCAGGCGATGAACCAGTCGCATTGTAGTAGTACACCGATCCGATAGGAGCTCGCAGTTTACTCCAGCGCATAAGAGAGTTCATGAAGAATAACTCTGCTCATAACAATATGAACGCTTTATTCACCCCAAGATCAGACCATTATGAGCGCGCCTGTACCCCGCGTACGCAACTCGCGTTCACCGTCGCATCCAACCCACCGTTTGCGCAATGACGCAACCTCCGAACAAACGAACTGAGACACGCGCCACGATCAAAACAAAGAGATATCCCCCGTCTCTCAGACCTGTAGCCAGCTGCAACCTCGCCGTACCTCTACACTCGCATTGCATATCTCCGCAATACAGCCACTGACAAACACCAGCACACAAAGCACATCACACTACACACTCTCTACAAACCCCCGCGCCTCAAACCAAAATGGCCCAAAACGACTCCAAGCACCTCCTCCCCATGACCTCCATCCTCTTCGCCGACACCAATTCCTCTTCCCGGCCAAACACATCCCACCCCCTCGCGAACCCCACACTCGCCAACCTCAAAGACGCGCAAGACACCAGCATCACCGCGCTGCCGCAGCCTGTCACCGAAGCCGAGGTCGTCGAGTCAGACGGTTTCTGGAAGAGGTTGTGGGCTAAGATCAAGAATGCGCTTGGTTTCGGTGAAAGGGAAGTTGAGTATGAGGAGGAGAGGGAGATGTGCATTGGTGAGCCTTTTGGCTTCGTTCATATTGGGACGGGAGGGAATAGGCCGTTGTTGGGGCCGGGTGGGGTGCCGAGGGTTGGGGGTGGGGAGGAGGAGTGGGAGGATGTTGAGTGAGGGCGGGAGGTATTTGGGGTGGTTTGGGGGTGAGATTGGGAGATTATGAGGGGGCGGGGAGGACGACGGAGGCGTGAGAGGTGGTGGATATGAAGATGAACTTGGTGGTTGAGGACTACATGGGTATGATACTGAACAGAAGGAAGAGGGAATCAACCTCGAGACGACTACGAATATACAAAATCCTCCATCTTACTTTCCCTGACTTTCGACGCTGACGTTCCAATTATTAGGTGCCCGCCACCAGCGTCCTAGCAGGCTACCCTCACTCTTCCCACTGCTACCCGTGATCATGCGATTCGCATCTGGCCTTTCAATCTTGACATCCTGCGTCTTGACAATCTGCAGCTTGACATCCTCGCTGCCATTGGTTCCAGCCTCAGGGTCATATGTAGCACGATCGCTGCTTCCAGTCCGGTATGCTTTGCCCTTTGAGCCGGAGCCCTCGTCGCTGATGATACGTTCGAACTTGCTTTGCAGGCTGGGGTAGTAGCGGATAAGAACGGCTTTGATGCTCGGCGCACAGGCGACGATGACGGCGAGATGGTTCTCCACAACGGCGCAAATCATAGACGCGGCGTATTGGAAGGGGAAGTCCCCCATGACGGCGAGTCGGTGGACAAAGTAGACGCGAGTTGCGCTTGCAGCGAGCACAAGTCCGCCCAAGGCGAAGAGGAAGTTGACGGCGATGCGGTGGTGGCGTCTGAGTTTAACATTCCAGGTGAAGATGACGGGGAGGATATACAGGACGGCATCGCAGGCCACCATGAAGACCGAGTTGAAGTAGGAGAAGTCGCTTAGGTTGATGCAGTAGCCCTCGATGGTTGGGTCCCACCATTTTGCCACGGGGACGCATTGGAAGATGCTGGTTACGACGCAGGTGAGACCGAAGGAGAAGGCGACGATGTGCATGATGAAGATGCAACGGCGGGCCCACGGCTCAAAGGTGAGCTCGGTGTAAAAGATCAGCAGCGAGTGCTTGACGGCCCAGTTGACGGAAAAGTAGAAGATTAGAGCGGCCATGACCATCTGAGGTGTTGAGTTAGTAAGTGGAAGACGGCGATCGTGGGTTGGGTTTGATGTACCTTGAGGAGCATCTCCATGTTGGCCGGGTCGATGTCTGCCTCGTGCAGACCAGCTCCCAGACGTGTCGCATACATCTGAATGCATGATAAGACGATGGCGCAAGTCCCGGCAAAGACAGCAAGAGCTTCATATCAGTTAGTATGATGACTCGTGTGGGAATAAGTAGACTGAGCTTACCATCATGCCAGCCAAAGCTGCTCATTATCTTGATTTTTCTCCCAACACGACAGCTAATAGCGAGTGAAGTCAACACTATCAGTGTCAAGTTGACAGCAACGGTGGGGGCGCGTAGGTCAGACGACATGATTGGAACAGTCAATCGAGTCACCGAGTTGAGTGGAGTTGCGATGGGTACAGGGGTGAGAAAGGATTCGTGTGCCTTGCATGCCCTCTACATATATACCTGGTGTTTATCTTTCACAAGACGCACGGCTTATACTTTGTTTGTCGTGATATGCGCAACACCGAGATGATGAACGGCCTACGGGGTCTAACGTTAGCTGCCCCGCGCTGACGGCGCGCAATCATCCATGTCAGTACAGTGATTGTGGACTGCCGTTTCTGTCGGCTTGCAGTGAAAACCGTCAAGGGAGCGACGCGGCACTCGGGGTAGCGCTCAGTGCTCCTAGACTAGTAGGAATAATGAAAATCATGGTGTAGCACTATTGGACGGAGTTTCTCTTCTTAGCCTAACCGAGTGCTGGGCATGGTCGCTAGGTATAGAGGTTTTGCTTTGTGATGTTTGTTTTCGAGGTTAGGGTTCAAGCTAGGGGCAGCGGGGTCTTGCGATGTCGAAAAAGAAAGCACGACGTCGGTATACACGTTATGTCCATGCGAGCCGTAAGCGAATACAGCGGGTTGTCGAAAGCGCTCATAGGTTGAGGAGGCGACCCCGCTTTGCCCTTCGTCTCAACACATCGCATTCCGAAGCTGATGTTTTCGTTTTGTGTTGTTGCTTTTTGCTTTGAGGGTCCTGTCCGTATTGATTTTGGTGGGTATACGACAGAGACTTTGTACGTGGCGTTTTCTGCCTGGCGTCTCCATCTGATTAGGATACTGCGGTACCATGTTAATGTTGGTGCTGGCTCGCATCGCATACTGCGCGTTCACATTGTTGAGTTGGGGAGTAACTTTGCAAAGTACCCACGTCCGGTCATGTTGAGATTGATGTTGATCAGCGGCGGCGACAGATATCCCGATTACTGAACGATGGCGACTGTATAAGACAAAAGTAAGACTCCATTGTAGAAGGGCCGATGAAAAGATGGAAGTCGAAATGGTGGGTAGACAGACGGCCAGAGACGGGAGATTGTGAGCCAGCCACATCGTCATAAAAGGCGTGCGCCCCGCTGGGTGCTCGCGACTCGAAACGACGACATCATCTCGTCGTGGAAGCGGCTGAGGATCGATCGTGTGCGCTTGGAGCGCGACTGCTCAGGTGTTTACTTCGGCGATGCATCATGTGATGAAGCTCGATGCGCCTCCAAGATTCCCGAGACTGTCCCGACTTCTCGACCGGGAGCTGACTAACGCCATCCGACACTAGGCCATATCTGATTCTCAGTAATCCTGCGCATATGATTGGGCACCGGAGACAATTTGCAGCTTATATGCGTATGCGTATAGTGGTCGCCGCACCTTTTGTAAATATGATTGATTAGAGAACTGCGCTTCCATTCCCCTCTTCACTCCGATGACCCCATCTCGTCTCTGCGTCTGTCCGTTCTCCGATTTTCTGAAACTCAAGGTGCGATCGCTATAGTCGGAGTGAAACTTGACGCCTCGGCTGTCCGCATTTACTACGAACGCCACCTTTCCCCGACGCCAACGTCAGCGGCATTCCACTTTCTTTGCACAGGCGGGACTTGAACTTTTCGATTCCTTCACCAACCTACAAGACATTATTGCTTTCTCTCCACCATGTCGTTCTCCTCGCTCGTCTCAGACATCGCATACCGGAACAATTCGGAGCGGCCAGAGCGACCCGACCTGCGCTCTCAAATATCGGAAGCGCGTTCCACCCGATCCTACGCCAGCACTGCCGCGACGAGCGTGAGCATATCCGGGGATATCAAGAGCCAATTGCATGGAGGATACAGCCACCCTCTGTCGCGAGCATGGCAGGCCGAGCGACAGCTTACAAAGGTGCGAGGCATGACGCCATGAGCCCTATGACGGAAGCTAACATTCAGTGCAGTCGATGCTCATCTACCCCCTCTTCATTTCCGATCAGCCTGACGAAGAGATACTTATTCCCTCCCTACCCAACATCCACCGCCGAGGCCTGAACAAGGTCGTGCCATACCTCACCCCGCTCGTCGCAAAGGGCCTGAAGTCCGTCATACTGTTCGGAGTCCCACTCGCACCCTCAGCAAAGGACGCCTTGGGCACCAACGCAGACGACCCCAAGGGCCCCGTCATCAAGGCCATCCGCCTGCTGCGACGAGCATTCCCCGACCTCTTCATCGTCGCCGACGTCTGCCTCTGCGAATACACCTCACACGGCCATTGCGGTATCCTCAAGGAGGATGGCAGCTTGAACAATGCATTGTCAGTAGAGCGGATTGCGGATGTGGCGCTTTCATATGCCAATGCCGGCGCGCATTGCGTTGCGCCCTCAGACATGAACGACGGGCGCATACGCGCCATCAAGTTGAGGCTCATCGAAGCCGGCATCTCGCACCAGGTCGTGCTGATGTCGTATGCCGCCAAGTTCTCAGGATGTTTATACGGTCCCTTCCGTGACGCTGCAGGCTCAGTGCCCTCGTTTGGCGACCGAAGATGCTACCAGTTACCTCCCGGCGGCCGCGGTCTGGCACGACGAGCCATTGTCAGAGATATTGGTGAGGGTGCGGACATCATCATGGTTAAGCCTGCGAGCCAGTACCTTGACATCATTAGCGACGCAAAGGAAATTGGCAAGGACATGCCCATTGCAGCGTACCAGGTTTCTGGAGAATACGCTATGATCCACGCGGCCGCAGCTGCAGGTGTGTTCGACTTGAGGCAGATGGCGGAAGAGGCTACGCAGGGCATACTCAGGGCAGGAGCTTCAATAGTGGTCAGCTACTTCACGCCAGAGTTTCTAGACTGGTTGGGTAACTAGAGAGGCTAGCATAGGTGTACGGCAAAAGAAAGGGCGCAGGGGCGTTTGATATCCAGACGGCATGTCTACCAATGAAATCTCATCACCACTTCTACATCATTTCGTTTCTGATATCTAGCGCACGCAAATAACGGCGCAACATTCCTCTAAGTGTGAATTCTGAAGCGGGCTTACAGCCCGCCTCGTATAGTGCCAAGACCATATACAGAAATACGCTAGCCCGAACATGCGGAGGATTGCAGCCCACCGGTGCGCCACAGCCCTCACTTCGCCATCTGCAGATGAACCAACCCCACCACATCTCAACCCTGCGGCTGCCTTGCTGCTACCTCGCTAAGCTTTCGAGTCAGCGCCCTCCCTACGGTACCACGGTGGGCGTTTGACTCACCGGCTAGCCCGCACTTCACGACCGGCGTCGCCGGTTCTTCTCACCAAAGTCGGTAATGATGCGTCCGTATCCACAGCAGCATGCATCTCAGCCACTTCAGTCGCCCTTCGTGCGCAAAGGATATTCATCCTGGGATTCAAAGTGAACGCCACTCAGCCTTGCTTGGAGCCACGCTGTTTGCGCGCGAACGCTCCCATTCGACCTAGCGATGCCACTGCACTTTAGACAAATGCGGTCTCCACTCACTGGACGCATCATGCAGGTGACCATTAACCCAGCGAGGAATCTTTCTCCTAACAGAGCCTTGAGAGGCTGATGTCGAAGCTGATTGCATTGGACCGGCTGCACAATATGCACAGCCACTCCTTAGCTCAGGCTGCCATCCCACCGCCCTTTTTCTCAACTCCAAGTCATGACGATAATTGCTATTAGGTAAACCAACACACATCATCTGGATGCCTGGTGAATTGCGCTTGCGACAAATAAGTATATCACAGGTCTCTTCTTAGACTATTACTACGTTACAACAATCATCGACATTCGCTGTGAACACATCTAATCCGGGGGCTTTGTTACGCGAGCAAACGCATCGGGATTCATTCAAGACACGTCCACTTATAAACCTCCCTCGACGTGCGGATTAAGCCACCGGCCTGGTATAATCATGGAGAACCTAAAGGAATCGCTACCTCCTGGCCTCGCAGATGCAGCCATCAACATTCCCGGCTTCGGTGCTATCGTCCAGCTGGTCCTCAACAAAATTGGTTTCGATGTTGGCAGCACGATGTCTCTATATCTATTATTATTTGGTATCTTCCAAGGAGCCATGTTCTTGTACAACAGGGGGCGTACATGGATGCAGTAAGTCCACAATTCTACCAGTCAACTGCGGTCTGCTAACAGTTCATGCAGAGATTATGGCACCTCTGCCATCCGGATAGACGATGATGATGATTTATATCCCCAGTTCATATCCTGGATATCAGAACAACGCATGACGGAAGTCAGCAGAGACCTGAAAGCTACCTCGAGGAAGCCCAAGACTCGATATAGCGCAGACTCTGATGACGAGCCCGAGTCAGACGATGAAGACGTCTTGGACGAGTCTGGCATCTTTAACTACGACAAGTACAAAGGTACTAGTCCTGTATACTACGAACCTAATCTTGGCGACGACAGCTTCACCCACAATGGTCACTACTTCCAGTTCAGGAAGGATTCCCAAGAGAACAAGTACGCGGAACGTATTGAGTACTTTGTCATCATCCGTTGCATGGGTCGCAGCACGAAGCCTGTCAAGGAACTCATAGATCATGTCAAGGAATGGTCATCGCACAAGAACAACAGCACGACTGAAATTATGCGAGCGGAGACTAAACACGGCGGTTACTGGTCTACCCAGTCCAGTCGACCTTCACGACCCATTAGCACAGTGACCTTGGATGAAGCGCAAAAGGACAAGGTCGTTGCAGACATTAACGAATACCTCCACCCAGCCACGGCTCGGTGGTACGCCGCCCGCGGTATTCCCCACAGACGAGGATATCTTTTCCACGGGCCTCCTGGTACTGGCAAAACATCCTTGAGCTTTGCAGTGGCTGGAATCTTTGGGCTTAGCGTCTACTGCGCTTCTTTGAGTGAGCGTGACATGACCGAGTCGGATCTAGCTATGCTGTTCAGCCAGCTGCCAAATCGATGCATCGTTTTATTAGAAGACATTGACAGCGCGGGTATCCGTCGAGACAAGTCCTCTGAAATTCCAGAACCAGATCGCGTCTCGGAGGTGGAAGAGGAGACTAAGTCACCTACTGGAGCGAAGGATATTGTAGCAGAGAAAGACGAGAAGATTGAGAGCAAAGACGAGAAGGCCGAGAGCAAAGAGGAGAAGAAGGTAGAGGGAAAGCAGAAGTCCATCACCGATATCGAAAAGAAGAAGTCCTTCCGCCGAAGACTTACCCAAACGTTGCGCCCGCGGAAGATCGCCAAACCCGACAGCGAGACCACCACTCTCGTCACAGACGACGCAGCATCGTCCGTCCGGGCACCCAGCGTAAAGACGCCCAGCATAAAGGCACCCAGCGTAAAACCCACACCTCCCCCTCCTCCACCACCACCAGTCCTGTCGCCCACCGACGAAGAGGGTAGCAAAAGCAAGATTTCCCTCGCCGGCCTCCTTAACATCATCGATGGCGCCGCATCCAGCGAAGGCCGCGTCTTGATAATGACAACGAACTACCCCGAGAAGCTCGACTCAGCACTCATTCGCCCCGGTCGTGTCGACCTCCAAATCAAATTCACACTAGCCACCAACACGCAAATACAAGAGATCTTCCGTCGCATGTACAGCCGCGAAGAGGACCTCGCGACGCAGACACAGAAGAAGAGCGATGACGAGAAAGCGAAACCCCCTTCTTCCAAAACGAAGAAGAGGAAAGTCAGACCATCGAGTGGTACCTCCTCGCCTCTCACTAACGGGGCCCTTCCATCGAAACCCAACTTCGCAACGCTACCACCAGAGAAACTTGCGGAGATGGCGAAGCAGTTCGCGGAAGCGCTTCCAGAGGGCGTGTTTTCGCCTGCGGAGATCCAAGGGTATCTACTGCAGAAGAAGGCGGATCCGGAGGGCGCGTTGGACGGGGTTAAGGAGTGGAGGGATGCGGTGCTTGAGGCGAAGAAGAAGGGGAAGAAGGTTGTTGAGTTGAAGTAGATGGTAATTTATGACACCATGGTGTTTGCTCTAATGTCTAAGTGAAAGTTGGTGAGGCATGTGCTTGGGGTCTGCCACAGACGCGCAAAAACAGAGGGAGTCGCCATCATCACGACCATCGCCGCGCATGAAGGATCGAAGCAATCGCGCCATCCGCTGTACGAGCGAGCCCATCGGTGTTCGACCGGCGCCTAAACCACGATGGGCAAAAAGATGGAGTTTTTGGCAAAAACATACAACAGCGGGGATTCGCTAGTGGTCACCCACCTAACTACTAATCCGCCGGTATCATGCTTGTATATGGCTGAGCGGACGGGAAGCCTAATTTTCATGATCCTATGGTCGTATGTAAAGGAATGGGCATTCTGTAGCAATATAATATCATTGTTGAAGCTCCTCCGATGCGTGATTGGCACACCGTGGTGCGGAACGAACATCAGGGTCGCGCGTGCGAAATCGGCAGAGGAAACAACACTTAAATCGTTTTGCGCATTGATGATAGAATGCGAAAGTAACTTGACCAGCTTCCTTGTGCTGACTGGATTTTCACCGGACTGGGCGGTAGTGCTGATGTCATTTACGCTTTCGGGATAGCTACTACTCAGAAGAACACAGACCTCTTCGCCATAATCAGTGCCACCCAAGCCTCGTGTCTTCCCCTCCAACCGCACACAGCTTCGAACACTCTGGACGACGCTTTTTGTATGTTTGTAAACCAAGCTGAGTTGGTGTCCATATCTGATCCATTTTATCCTCCCTCAACACCTCAGAGAGCGGTGATACCCCTTCTTGCTGCCAGTCTTTCAGGCTCGGCAGCTTCAGTCTGTCCCAGATCTCCACCAATGCACTCACTAGGCGATCCTGCTGCTTGGACGTATGGGCTGGCGTTGGTGCTATTCTCAACCTTTCCTGTCCTCTTGGCACGCTTGGGGCGTTGATCGGCTGTACGTATATGTTGTATTCGTCAAACAGAATATCTGCAACCTTCTTACAGACTACCGAGTCTCCAACCAACAGAGGCACTATATGCGATTGATTCGGCAAGACCGGGAGACCATGCTCGCGTAGCGCCGTCTTGACACTACGAGCGTTGCGCTGGAGCTGCTTACGCGAGTCGTCATGCGAGTAGAGATGTTCGACCGCAGCTCTCGCCCCTGCCATAACAGCTGGTGGTTGCGCTGTTGTGAATATGAAGCTCCGGGCTTGCGAGCGAATCATGTCGACGAGAGATGCGGACCCGGCGACGTAACCACCCATGGTGCCGAACGCTTTGCCAAGCGCTCCGCTGACCAGGGTAATTCGATCCATGAGCGTGCTTTGTCCATCTCCACGAACTCCTTGGTGGATATCGTAATCGAGATGTTCGGCTACACCCGCCCCATGCGGCCCGTAGAGGCCGACTGCATGGACTTCGTCTAGGAAAGTAATGGCGCCGTGTTTCTCGGACAAATCAACAATCTCTCGTATGGGAGCAACGGTACCTGGTCAAAATTAGAATGCTGAGGATGTGGACGATTGCTACAGGGCGATTGATTTGCTTACCACACATGGAATACACGGACTCGAACACGACAACCTTCGGCGTTTCCAAAGGTATGGACGCAAGCTTCCTCTCCAGGTCTCTAACATCGTTGTGCCGCCAGACTAGCTTGGAAGCCCTAGACATCTTGATGCCTTCGATCAAGGATGAGTGATTTGATTCATCAGAAAGGAAGACACAGCCGGGGAGATGTGCACCCAAGACTGCCAGTGCAGACTCATTCGCAACGTATCCAGATGTGAAGGATAGCGCTGCTTCTTTCCGATGCAGCTTTGCGAGCGACGTCTCTAAAGCTTCAGCCCATTGGTTGTGCCCGGATATGTTTCGTGAACCGCCGGAACAAGCGCCGTATTTGTCAAGCACGGTGCGCATTGCACGTAAGACACTGGGGTGACCACCCATACCAAGCTGTTCGTTGCTCTCGTCAATAGGTACTCTCGTGTTGTTGGGCTGATTACTTACATAGTCGTTCGTGCACCAAACGTCCACACGCTGCTCTTCAACGTCGGAGTGTGCAAAGGGAAACTCCTGGGCCAGACGATTGATGTTGCGGAATTGACGATATGAGCCATCTCGATGCTTCTGATCGATGTTGAATTTGAATAAGGCTTCATACGGGAAACGCTGGGGCGCCTCCGTTGTAGCCGTCTCGGGCTGGGCCACTGCTACAGCTGCTACTCATGCTTTAGCACCAGCTTCAATCAAATCCTGGACAGAATTGCGAGGAGTTCACGTACCCGATGCAAATGAGCGAGCAAGCAAAAGCACTCTGGGTTTGACACCCCGCACTAAGAACTGGTTGTGTCCTATAGGACGAGACCAAATCGCAATCGATCTCATATCGGCTGATAGAGGTACTCGAGACGGAAGAATGAAGACATCAAGTCGAACTTTCAATTACGCTCCATTTCAGATACGTTATATACTCGTTGAGTGATTGCATTACCCTCAGCACGCAATTCTGACTTGTCACTCCTCTCACGGACGCGGGTTTCAGAACTCACAAACCATGGCCAAGATGACTCCACATGTTAGACGCCTAATTGCGGCGTAAGTCTAGATATCATCAGCAATGAGACCACTCTCATTGATGCCTATGATTGTACGACCTGTGTCAAGAGGGCTTGCGTTCAACATCGCGAACAGCATTTGCTACACCCGGATGGCCATGTAGGTCAACACTAAGCAAAAGAGCGGCCCTGACTCCATTTTAGGAAGTCTGGTCGGGCGTTTTCCATCCATGTCATTTTCCAGAAACGATTTCTTCCGCTGTGTTACATCAGATTAGCGAATCGCACTGTGCCTGTGCGCGTAATGGCCGAAGTCGTGTAACCACCCAGCAACACCAAATTTACCACTACAAAAGTCAGGCCGTAGAGCTACCTCTACAGTTTTAGTGCTTAGTACGTGACGGAGGTCCTACGAGAGCTTTGCGCTTTCTATTCTGGGTGATTTGAGGCGCTCGTTTGTTGGCTTGGTCTCCAATTCGGGCTACTCGAGCTGCTGCTTTTTCCGCTCTACCTATCCTTCTCCCCCACTACCTTGGCTGCCTCTCCCACTGAAACGTTACACAAAGGCCTTTGAGACTCAACTAGAATCAACTCCGTGGGAAGGAGTAGGTATACTAAGGCAGCGCGTGGTGTGGAACATCGGAACGCACGGAAAGTTACCTATTTCATCGACTCATTCGACTGCAGGATGACAGCAGATATGCCCGGCCCTGATGTAACCCTTACCCCCACATGCTTCTGTTTGACATCTTCTAAGCTACCCAAAAGAGTGCAACATCCGGTCCATGAATGCGGCATTTAATCCAACCATTAACTCCAAACATACAGCGCTGTTCAGGTAGCATGGTGGCGTCAGTTTGAAGCCACATGGCGTGATAGTGACACGTAGTCGTCTTCCGTTTGTGATCTGATATACAGCACAAGTAGTCGACCTTTGTTCGATGGTATGAGTCGTGAAGCTTCTTTTCTACGTGCGCTTCAATAGATACTCGTGCGAAGCTGTGGTTTCGCAGAAGTTTGCTTCCCTCATATGTCGACCATCAATAAGGACAACGAAATACGTCAGGATGCCGAAAGGCATCCTAATACACATACCCAAGATCTGGGTACTGGACTACGCACCACTTCGACAGACAACGAAAACGTCCACCCCCAGCAACAGCATGACCATGAAACCCGAATGGATGGCGGCGTAGTAGCCTGGCTCCAGGTATTCGGAAGCTGGATTCTCTTCTGGAACACCTGGTAAGTCTCTCTCATATCCCAACCCTCCTTCCTACAAAAACTGATCCCAACCACCCCTAGGGGCTTGACAAACTCCTACGGAGTATTCCAAACCTACTACGTCAACTTCCTACTCCCAACATACAGCGCTTCAGCAATATCCTGGATTGGATCCATCCAGCTCTTTCTCACCATGGTGGTTGGCATACCCGCTGGGATAATGCTCGATCGCGGACATCTTCGACTTCTCATCGCACTCGGGACGCTCTTCGAAGTAGGAGGCCTCTTTGCGACAGCACAGTGCTCACAGTATTGGCAGATCTTGCTTGCGCAAGGCGTCTGTGTAGGTCTAGGTAGTGGTTTGCTTGGCTTGACGAGTGTTGCGGTTATCCCGCTGTACTGGAAACGGAAAAAGATGATTGCAACGGGTATTGCGGCGACGGGAAGTAGTCTTGGTAAGCTGATGGCGCTAATCCTGCTTCAAGGACATATTCTGACTTGAGGTATCGCGGTTTAGCTGGTATACTCTATCCGCTCATGATGCGCCGCCTCTTTGTCACAATAGGCTTTCCTTGGGCTGTGCGTGCCCTCGCATTCCTGATCCTCGGATGCATGGCTGTGTGCTTCGCGGTTATGCGGCTGAGACCTCGAGCGCCAAGGAAAGGGTCGATATTGAACATTCAAATGCTCAAGGATAGAAGTTACACTGCATTTGTCCTTGGTTAGTCCCCTTTTTCTCTCTTATGGATCCACTCATGATTGCGAAATCCATTGAAAGCGAAAAGAGCTAACCACACTCAGCATTTACACTCATGATGGCCACCGCCTACATCCCCTTCTTCTACATCCAAGACTACGCGCTCAATCTCTCTCTCGATACCGAGTCTGCCTTCTCCCTACTCAGCATCATGAACGCTTCCTCCCTTCTTGGTCGCCTGGCGCCTAACTACCTCGCCGACCGCTTCGGTGGCGTGAACATCATGCTGCCTTGTTGTCTTCTCTCATCGTTGGTCATCTTTCTCTTCCCACTCGCCGTAGAAAAATCCAGTCTCATCGCTATTTCGGTCGTTTACGGGTTCATTTCCGGTGGAATGGTCAGTCTTCCTGCGCCCATTATTGCGGCGTTGACGAGCGACGTGGGGGAGCTGGGGGCGCGGATGGGAATGGCCTATTCGATCGCGGCGTTTGGGGGGTTGGTTGGGAGTCCGGTTGCGGGGGCAGCGAAGAGAGATGCGACTTTTGGTGTTTCAGGTAGAGCGGTTGAAGATGTGCGGATGGAATTTTGGGGCGTGTGGTTTGTGGGCGGTGGAGGAATGTTGTTGGCTACAGCATTTTTGGTGCTGACGAGGTGGTTGAGGGTGTCGCGGTGGTCGTGGACACTGCGCATATAGGAAGTATGATGCCGACCTGCTCCTATTATTACTCCAGCTATACAACTAAGTCTCTGCGACATCCCCGTACCGCTTAACAATCTTCTCAAACACCTCGTCTAGAGTCGCCTTACCCACGCTATAAAACTCCACATTCAGGTCACCATTCGCGCCTTCCAATGTCCTAATCAAGCCCGCAAACTCATTACCATCAGCCGGAATCTCAAACCTGACCTGACCTCCCTGCGTCTCACGACTAACGTTTGCCAAGGGAAAGGTAAGAGCAATCCATTCCTTCATCTTCTGCAGTTCACGCGGTGTGGTGCAAGGTGCTGAGCGCGACACGAGATGAATGTGGTATTCGCTGCCTGCACGCTGCTTCAGGTCTTCGCGGTCGCCAAGAGCGAGCATGCGCGACGAGACAATGCCAATGCGGTCGGCTAGGGCGTCGGCTTCTTCCATCGAGTGCGTGGTGAGTACCACGGCGCGTCGCTTGGCGATGGTTTGTAGGCAGCGCCACATGACGCGCTTTGCATTTGCGTCGAGCGCTGAAGAAGGTTCATCGAGGACAAGGACACGTGGGTTTCCGACTAGTGCGACAGCCAGAGATAGTTTGCGCTTGGTGCCACCGGAGAGCTTCTGCGCCAACTGGTCAGTCCAGTCACTGAGACCGCAGGCTGCAATCACGGCCGACACGTTGTGTTCGACGTCTTGGACTCCTCTTATCTTGGCAAAGAAGCGCAGCGTCTCTCGGACTGTGAGAACGTCGGCAGAGTCAAACTGTGGGCACACACCAAGACTGGATCGTGCTGCAAGGGGACTAGTCAGGATTGGGTTGCCGGCGATGTCGATTATAGAGCCTGGTGTTGAGGGTTTGATGTCGCCACGAATCATCGAGATGATGGTCGATTTGCCAGCACCGTTGGGTCCAAGTAAAGCAAAAATCTCCGATGTCTTGACACCAAACGTGACATCGTCGACTGCGAGGTTCTTGCCAAAAGACCTAGTCACAGACTCAACCCGGAGGTCAATGTCAGGTGATGCCAATCGTCTACGTTCGGTAAGAAGATCAGCCGTGTACATGTCTGTCGCCTCTGTATCGCTGACCAGACTTTCGCGGCGCAATGAAGGCAGAGCGAAGCCACTATCCCACCAAATGAGAAGCGCAAACAAGAGAGCAATTTGCACAACCAAGAACAAGACGGGCCCGCCGTACAGATAGAGGGAGCCGTCGCTGTGGCCGTTGCACTTCAACCCAAGCTGCTGAAGACCGATAAATAGCGTCCTTTCCAAGCTCACTACTGGCGATATGATGGCGAGACCAAAGTACAGGGCGTTCATCGTGGATTCCAGGTTTGCGTATGGTGTGGTGGCCTGGATCTCCATCACGCCAGCGAAGTAGGCAAAATAGACAATGACCTGCATCAAGGCCATCAAGAACCAAGCCGTAACTGGCTTCTTTGTAAACATGGAGAAGACATAGCTGAGTAGCGCGCACGCAATGCCATACAGAAGGAAGATGACGAAGACCAGGCCGAGTCCATGCCAGACGGGCGTCGACATGGAAAGAAGACCTGTAGCAACGGCACTGATTATGACGACGAAGGTACCGTCGAAAGCCAGATGGGAAAGCCAAAGTGGCACTGGACGGATCCCGTTGGAGTATTGCATCGAGCGGACGTTTGACAGGCGCTCATCCGTCGGGTATAAGACGAAAAACACTGGATAGCTATTGTGCATGTCAGCTTTGTTGTGCGACTTGTGCGACTTGCGCGACTTGCGCGACTTGCGCGACTTGCGCGACTGGTTAAAACGTACCAGGCCATGATCAGTCCATAATAAATGATGAACATCGTAGCATCAGAAGCCATGAGACTTGGAATGACAGTACTGGCGAACTCGTTGTAAGAACTCGAGATACCAACACCACCAGCCATGACGTTGTAGAAGTTCAGCATCTGTTGCATGGCGGCGCCTCCGCTGATGTCGCCCATGATAGTGGGGTTGGTTGAGCTATCGCCCATCCAGATTCCGCCTCTGAGTTCTGTGGTGGGAAAGCCACCATCGGAGATGTATCTGGGATGGGCAACTAGTTCTTTCCAGTCGTTCTGAACTGCTCGCGCGAATTCTTCGTACGTATCGACGATTAATAGCTGGTTCTCAAGCTGTGAAGAATTCGTGTACCCGGATTGATAGGTGTCAGAGTAACTCAAAGTGTGGCTGGTGGAGTAAACGT